TCTTTAAAACTTTTTATTTCATGTGCATGAGTGTTATGCCTGTATGTAAGTTGCACCCATGCTGTGCAACACCCACGGAGGCCAGAAGAGGGCATCAGGTTCCCTGGAACTGGAGTTATGGATGGTTGTTAGCTACAATGGGGGTGCTGGGATTCGAACCCAGGTCTTCTGCAAGAACATCCTGTGCTCTTAACCACTGAGCCATCTCTCTAGCCCTTAGTATAACGGTTTCTAATTCTGCCCATCTACCTGCAAATTTCATCTTTCTTTACCACCGAGAACTCCACTGTGTAAATGTACCACATTTTCATTACCCATTTGTCAGCTGAGAAACATTTAGATTGTTTCCATTTCTAAGCTATTGTGGAAAGAGCAGCAACAAACATGTACAAGTATTTCTACAGTAGGATGAGTTTTTTCGGTACATGCCAAGGAGTGGTATAACAGGATCGTATGATAGGTGTATTTTTAGTTTTTTGTTTTGGGTGTTTTTTTTGGGGGGGGGATTTATGAGTGTGGTGATTTGAATGAAAATGTCCCCCATAGGCTCCAAATAGTTGAACATTTTGTCCCCAGTTGGTGGCAATGTTTTGGGAGGTCTTAGAAGGTATGGCCATGTTGGAGGAAGCACATCACTGGGGGCAAGCATAGAGTTCTTAAGTCTTGCTGGATCTTGAGTCACTCTCTGCTTCCTGTGCCTGCTTGAAGATGTGCTTAATTTCTGCTCCTACTCAAGTCACCTCTGCTGCCATGCCTCCCCCACCATGATGGACTCTTGTCCCTTTGGAACCATAAGCTAAATAAACTCTTCCTTTTATAGTTCCCTTGGTCATGGTGTTTCTATCACAGAAACAAAAAAGTAACTAATACAATGAGTGTTATGCCTGCGTGTATGTAAGTGCACCTGCGTGTATGTATGTGTCGTGCAGCATCCATGGAGGACAGAAGAGGCATTGGATCCCCTAGAACTGGAGTTATGGACAGTTGTTAGCTACCAAGTGGGTACTCAAATTTGAACCCAGGTCTTTGGCAAGAGCAGCCAGTGCTCTTAACTGCCAAGCTGTCTCTCCATGAGAGCTGTGATTTATTTTTAGTATTTAAAGAGTTCTCCACAATGATTTCCAAAGTGGCTGTACCAGTTGGTAATCCCACCAGCAGTGAATGAGGGTTCTTCTTTCCCTGTATCTTTACCAGCATTTGGTGTCATTTGTTCTCTAGATCTTAGCCATTCTGACTGGGGCTTAAAATAGTTTTGATTTGAATTTCCCTAATTACTAAGGATGTTGAGTACTTCTTAAGGTGTTTCTTAGTCATTCCTCCTGAAGACTGGCTCTCATGGTATCAGAAGATACTATGCAAGCTGCTAAGGGAGAAAACCAATGAATGGTCCAACCCAGATGTAAAGCCTAAGAACCACAACAATGACCAGCACAGGAAACTCTCTTTGTTGGTGCAGTACTGGCACTTCTATCTTGGGGGCAATACATAAGTCCTATGAAACTGGACTTAGGGCTTCTATCTTGGGGGCAATACATATGTAACATATGTCCAGTCCTATGTGTGGACTTAGAGGGCCACTTCTATCTTAGGGGCAATACATAAGTCCTATGTAACTGGACTTAGGGCTTCTATCTTGGGGGCAATATATATGTAACATATGTCCAGTCCTATGTAACTGGACTTAGGGTTTGTTCAATTGAAGGGAACTCATGTGTGGTACAGTAAGTATAGCCAAATACACATAGCTGGATAGGTCATAGTTCCTAGAGAAAACCCAAAATCTGTCACGTCCCTAGACAAACATAATTTCTTACTGTATGCTGCATATGTATCCTTATATTTACAGACAAGTATACTTCTCACTGCTCATCAAAGAAGCTTCTTTTTACAATAGATGGAGACTATTACAGAGTTCCCAACTGGTCAAATTCAGAGAAGTATCTGTGAAATGCCCAACTCTAAGTGACACATTTCACATTTACAATGGAACCTCTACTCTTAAGGCTCAGGGAACGTAGTGGAACAGGAGACAGAGAGAATATTAATGCACTTCTCAACTCTCACCAGCAAAGCTTCGTCATGCAACTGATGCACAAAAAGCCTCAACTGGCCAAAATGCAGAGAATAAGAGACTGCAGAGTGCATGTCCCTGGATAGACTCCTAAATTAAAATTCGGACGCCTAGGGATCAGAAGAGGGGGTGGAAAGACTGAAAGAGAAAGAGGTGGTGGATAACTACAAGGAAGCAGTTCTCCAGGTGGCTATGAACTTGTTCATATGAACTTACAACAATGGTGACAGCATGCACAAGTCCCATGCAAACTCAAATCAGAAAAAAAGCCCAACATAGAAGTGGGGAAATGGGTAAGAAGTCCAACCTTAGCTGAAGAACAATTGGCAACTGAGCACTGCTGGGTGAGGGAGAGTTGTTCTTCTTTAAGGGAGTGATGCTAGATAGGTTGACCAGGCTCCAGGGGATGGGCTCATACTGAGGGACATTTGGGGACATAAACTTGACTAGATAGGCCTTAACACACATGACAGAATGTGTGAAATCTGGCAGGGGGGCCAGATCAAAAATGATCAGAATTGCCAAAAACTGTTAAACTATAGAAAATACAATCACTCAGTAGCATCTGCATTTTAAAAAAAGAATCACTTTTGGTGGCTGAAAACTAGAATCATGGATAAACCAAACAGAGGACTCCTAGGACGCTCCTGGGAACTTTCCCAGACTCACCTTGGTACACTCCCTTCCCCACACATCTCCTTGGGCCTGCCATCTCTGTTCTGTTAGGACCCTTGTGAACCCCCAGATCTGGGTGCTTTCCCAGACCTATGTTGATCAATGCATCACTCAACTCTCAGCAGAGAAGCCTCATTATCCAGCAGATGGTGATTAGCACCGAGAACCACAACCGGCCAAAGTGCAGAGAATATGAGGCTGCAGACTGCCCATTCCCGAAAAGGTCACCTCCATAGAACTTCTGCCTCCCGAGGCTCAGAGGTCATTGTAGAAAAGGGGGCAGAAAGATTGTACAAGCCAGAGGTGGTGGGTGACCACAAAGAAACAGTTTTCCAGACAGCTGGGCAGTTACCTATATGAACTCACAGCAATGGTTACAGCACGCACAAGTTCCACTTAAGCTCCAACCAGACAAACCTTCCTGAGGAACTACTGGTAATTGATTGCTGCTGGGAGGGAGAGAATTTCTTTCAAGAGTGAGACTCTTGGTAGGTTAATCGGACTCCAGTAAATGAACCCACACTGAAGAGCATCTGGGGACACAAACCTGAGCCTATAGGCACATATGTATTTATCTCTGTTTATCTATGCCTATATATAGGCATGTGTGTATATATGTGTATATTATATATAAAATATTACAGTACAGGAAATTTGAGAGGGTAAGGGGGTACAGATATGAGAAGGGATCTATATATGATTACAATATATTTTATGAAAAAAAAAACCCTAAACAGTGCCCCAAAGAAAAAGGTTTCAGAGCCTTGCCATCCCCTTTTGGTGTGGTACCAAGGAGTCTTGGCCTACTCTCTGCCTCAGTTTCTTCAGCTGTAACAGGAGACTAATCAGGTGCTCCTGCAGCTCTGATGAGGCTAACCGTAGTCCTGACCATAGGTCAGTATTTAAAGAGTTCTCCACAATGATTTCCAAAGTGGCTGTACCAGTTGGCAATCCCACCAGCAGTGAATGAGGGTTCTTCTTTCCCTGTATCTTTACCAGCATTTGGTGTCATTTGTTCTCTAGATCTTAGCCATTCTGACTGGGGCTTAAAATAGTTTTGATTTGAATTTCCCTAATTACTAAGGATGTTGAGTACTTCTTAAGGTGTTTCTTAGTCATTCCTCCTGAAGACTGGCAACAGCAGATGTAGCTTGGCCTCCTGGATTCTGTGCTCCTTCAGGCAGAAGCACACCCTGCTCTTTCTGTCCTCAGTACAGTGTACTGTACTGAATGACTAGTAAGATGTCTGTGTGCCAGTAACCACACACCACCTACCTCCTTCCAAAGGACCCTGAGTATTCAATGATGTGATGGGCCCCATACTGCAGGGAAATCACACCTTTAATGGAGATGGTAGGTTAAGTAGCCAAAGAACATGAGCTAGTCAAGATCACCCCTTGACAGCCACAGTGTACAGCATGACCATATGTACAACTCAGTACAGCATCATGAGGGGCCATTGATCTTGAGAATATGGTAAGACCAAGGAATGACCAATGGGACAGTAAAGATGTGGGTACCCCAACTTCCCTGCCTTCACAATACCCATGGAGGTCCTGAAGCCAGGATCAAAGGCCTGCACACCTGTAGAGCAGCCCGAGTTCTGCTGAGACTGTGCAGTTGTTCAGAATTCCACATCTTCATTGCAAAGAAAATGAAGCAAGGCCAAGTCCTCAAGCCAGTGACTAGTCTGGCCTCCTGGAATATGTGCATCAGCTGGGGGTAACTAGAAGTTTGAAAAGCCCCAGCCACATTTACCTTGGTCAAACCCAGCTCCTCTGCCTCGTTTTCACACGGGAGCTTGATTTCTGTCAATGTGCAGCATTTGCTAATATTCTGTGGAACTTTTCCAGGGTGACATGCTGGGAACATGACCTGGGACCATGACTCAACATCTCCTAGACTCTTTATTATAAATAACCCTTTATACAATATCTGTCTGGCTTCAGGACACACCAGTTAAGAATAAATTAAAAATGGGGAAGGAATGGGCTGAAGAGATGGCTCAGCAGTTAAAAGTACTGGCTATTCTTGCAGAGGATCTGGGTTTGATTTCCAGCACCCACATGTAAGTTCACATCCAGCCATAACTCCAGTCCCACAGCATCAGATGCCCTCTTCTGGCTCCATGGGTATTGTACACCATAGGTATACATAAAATACAAATAAATTTTTTAAATGGGTAAGGAGAACTGTCAGACTGAAAAAGAAAATGGATAAGTAACATCCTGGTAAGAATGCAAGGGACAGGAAGTGACAAGTATCTATGGAGTTATATTTGGGTGTTAAATATCTCATGGTATGATTTTGGGAATTCAAAAGAGTTGCAATTTATTTGATAAGAAAAGACAATCTTAACAGGTAGGACTACTTACATCTTATTTCACCAAGATTAAAATCACGAAGTTTGGGTATGTAAGATGCAACTGTACGGAAAATGTGCCCTTCTGAGTGACAGATGAGAAGCCAGCATTTCATCAGCTACCTTCTGAGTGGCACAGCCTCCTCTCTATCCACTCCAGCATAGGATATCCCAGCAAATCCAAGCAATTCTTTGCGTATCTACGTATGTGTACATATGTGCAGCAATATGAGCACTAGAGGTTGACAGCATGATTTCCTTTATCACTTTCCACCTTATTTTTTGAGAAAGGGTTTCACACTGAAACTGGAGCTCACTGATTGGCTAGACTGGCTGGTGAATGAGCTCCAGGGATCCACCTCTCTGCTCCATACCACCCTGCCCCCTCCCCCCAGTGCTGGGGTTACAGATATGTTCTGTTGAGCCAGGCTTTTACATGGGTGCCGGGGACCATGTCCAGTTTTCATGTGGGTTCTGGAGATCTGAACTTATGTCCTCATGTTTGTGTGGCAGGCACTTTACCAACTGAGCCGTTGCCGAAGCTGCAGTTCAACAATTCTTTACCTCTTCCATGTCTGACGAGAACCCAGAGTTCTGTTAGAAGATATCATGGGAATTTTTAAGGAGGGAGGTCTTTCTAATGAGATATAAGAACTTATATAAGTCAGATGTGGTGGCTCACTCCTGTAATCCCAGGACATGGGAGGCTGAGGCAGGAGGGCTGCTGTAACTTCAAGGCTACAGAGTGAGATGAACTAAAAACAAAAACAAAAAACCCAAAATAAAACCGTATCAACAAAAGTTCGAATTCTCTTTGGCTCCCGTCCAGCTGGGCCGCAGACCGCCCTGCAGCATCTCCCATGGCTCGAGGCTGCTCCAGGCTGGATACTCAGTCTCTAGAACATGAGAAGCTTCTCTGTCAGCTTTGCTTCCTGGGGCAAAATGACCACGGAAAGTATTCGCAGTCCTGCTTTCCGATGAGCCGCTGGCAGACTGCTGTCTAGAAACCACCATCCATCCTTACTCGTTGTACTTGGAAAGTTTCAACCTGGGGATAATATTCATAGACTGCAGTTCCTGGAAGAGCAGCTTGCAGGCATAGGGGATGCGGAGGGAAGACACATGGCACGACGACTTGCAGTAGTGGCACCTGAAACCCAAGTCAGCATGTGTCAGAAGGGCAGAAACAAAGGCCTTCACACAGGAGTCAGGCTGTGCTGCATGAAGTTCCTACTCCACATTCAGTCACACTGTCAGATGGTACTCAGAAAGCTGAAGGAGCACCCGAGGAAGCAAAGGAAAAAATGAAACAACTGCTCCCTACAGTTTTAAAACTGCAGCTTGAATCAGTTAGCTACCATGTTTCTAGACCTTCCTCTTTAGAATAGAAAACATTTGCTTATATACTGTTTTGAAAGAATCCCAGAAATCTGAACCATTAGAAATTTAGTCAGATTTCTCATTGTTGGAAGTTCTGAACTGACTCAATCAACTCCCATCTATTCCAGAGCATTACTATATTATTATATGCAATATGCTCAATACAGAGAATGGTTTCTGCCACAGACCTTAGGTGCTCCTCCAGTGCCCTCAGGCCTGCCTACCTGGTAGTACTGCATTTATAGCACGCTGTCCCCTGCAAACCACTGAGAAGTGTTGGGTATACACATATCCCACTGGACCCTACAACACCCTATGATCAAACCAACATGCCTGCCCACCCCTCTACAGCAGATGTTTTTCCCTCTTCCTTCCAGAAGGGCCACAAACTGGCCATACTCCTAGTCCATGACAACAGAAGGTACCCTGAGGAGAAAGTAAATTACTCTTCCAGGTTTCACAGCAAAGTAAGACCTCATAAGACTGCTCACAACGATGACATTAACAATATCACAAAGCAGGAGATTCCTCGAATGCCTGCTAGGCAGATGGTTCTGATTCTAGGACATTTCTACAGAAGAGCTATTCAATGTAGCAGTGCGCTACATTGTAACACCGAAACGTGAGGCGTCCAAGACACACTATGGAGTGAAAAAAACAGATCAACAACATGGTACCCTAGGGACCCTCAGATGGATTTCTAAGCCTCCTAAATCACATCTAAAGTTTCAAAAGACTTTAAAAAAACGTAAAGTGTTTCCAGGATGACCTAGTGGGTAATGGTGTTTACTGCCAAGCCTTGATGACCTCAGTTTGATCCCAAAGTTCAACATGGTGGAAGGAAAGAACCAATTCCAGCAAGTTGTCCTCTGACCTCCAAAAGTGCCTTGTGGCATGTGTGCATTCATAAATACACACACAACTATAAATAGTTGTAAAAAAATTATGAGGAGCTGGAGAGATGGCTTGGAGGTTAAGAGCACTGACTGCTCTTGCAGAGGACCTGAGTCTGATTCCTAGCACCCACATGGTAGCTAACAAGTGTTCGAACTCCAGTTCCAGGGGCTCTGACACTCTCCTGATCTCCATGGGTATTATACAATATGGGTGCACTTACACCAGGCAATACACTCATACACATAGAATAAAAATAAATTAAAAAAATTTTTAATTATAAGGAAAAAAGTATGTATTTGGCTGGATGTGGTGGTAATCCCAGAATTTGAGGGGCAGGGGAAAGAGGATCATGAGTTCAAGGCCAGCCTAGGCTGTATGAGATCCTGTTTTGTTTTTTGTTTTGTTCTGTTTTTTTTTTTTTTTTTTAAAAAAAAACAAGTACTTGCATCTTCTACTATTATCAGAATCTTAAAATGGTTTATGACTTAAAGAGTAAGTGCAAATCACAGCTTACAGGCAATGCATGATGAGCCAAGGGCAGAATCACTCGAATGCTAACAGCAGTTGTCTGGATGGCACGAATCACTGGGCCTCTCCCTTGTAACCTTGAGCAGGGACCATTTCTACATACAGCGAAATTTAGTTGTTTTTTGTTGCGTGTGTTTTATTATTTACTTATCTGAGACTGGGACTTGCTATGTAGCCCACCTGTCCTTGAACTTACCATATAGATCAGGCTGGCCTCAAACTTGCAGTGATCATCCTGTCTGTATACTGAGTGCTCAGCACACAGGCATGTATCATGCACCTGCCCTACTTTCTTTTTTCCTTTTTTAATTTTAGAAGAAAAACTGAACACTGAGGCTGAGACTTTATAGATGATGGTGGTAACTACAGAGGCAGAATTTCTTAACTGAGGCGTCAGGAAGAAGGGAGCCCTCATGGGGGCAGGGGTGACAGGAACTAATGATACAACTTTAGCAACGTGAGATTTCTTAATAATTTCCCAAAATCTTTTTATAAAAAGATAAGCTCTCATTATATAGCAGCCCTGGCTGACCTGGAACAGCAAGCACACTCCACCACAACTAACCCAAAGACCTTGTTAATGCATTAGAATTAAGACTTTCTAATGTGCCTGGTGGATCTAATTTATTCAGGAATCATACTCATACTTTGCTTTTTAAAAAATATTTATTATTTTAATTTTATGTTTAAGTGCCCCCATGTCACGCAATACCTGAGGAGGTCAGAAGAGGGTGTCAGATCCCCTGGAACTGGAATTGGGGATGGTTGTTAGCCACCATGTGGGTGCTGGGAACTGAACCTAGTTCCTCTGCAAGAGCAGCCAGTGCTCTTAACCACTGAGCTATCTCTCCAGCACCTCATTGTTTGTTTTTATTAAGTTGGGGGAAATAGACTGAACTAGGGTAACTTCTCGCTAGTTTTCCTATCTAGTATATTACAATGACTCCAATCTAAGCTAATCTAGTTAAAATTTCCACATGTGCCGATTCATAATCTGGATAACCCACTAATCTCTATCATTAAATACTTCATCAATTAAAATGTTCCAATGTAGTATGTATGTAAATTAATTTACTCTGTGACTGAACAATCTGCAAAGGTAGAAACCTGGCTCCCCAAACAATGAAATAAACCAATTTCTAGGACACAGGCAGCAAGAGAAGGCCGTGGCATCACATAGGAAGTGGCTGCCCAGGCAGTATCCTCTATGAGCTAATTATTTTAATAGGGGCTCTCTTTGGTGACTTCTGCCCTGCATGTCTGCTGTGGAACAACAGTCTTGCTGTAACCTCTCATAGCAATGCCTTACTAATGTGCAAATCACCCACAAAGGCCCTCTGAGGTACTGAACTGCTCTAATTACTCAGCCTCCGTTGTGTGGCTCATTAAAGGGCGAGTTCCTCCAACTAGCTGGTGCTTGCTCCCTCCCACCCGGCTGGGAACACAAGATCAGGTAATGATGGGAAAATGACAGCATCATTATGCTGTTCAGCCAGACAGCAACACACAGGAGGCAGTTAGACTACACAATGGGTTAGGATTTTTTTCTGTTGGCACAGGGATATAAATAGACTGCTCAAATCAGACATATAGTGTACTAAGGTCTGTTTAGTTACAGTAAAGACCCTCAAAACATAACCTGATCAAGTCCTTTCAATGGATTTCACATATACCACACACTGAACACTTAAGCATCAAGACCTGGGATTGCCATCACATGATCTAGACACAGACAGGAATGAGGCAGGAAAGAAGGCAGAGATTCAACAGATGTATGGGTGTGGACAGGTCTTCCTGTTTCTGTCAGGTGTCCCTGAGTATCCAGCATTGGAGAAGGCGGGTTTTCCAAGGGCCCAAGTGAACTAGGTTTACTGTTTCCTTGTTCTTTTGAGGGGAGAGCTACAAGGCAGAAGAAAAAACTGAAACTCTTCTTGGCATTTCATGGCTCCTGTTTTTAATGAAATAACTTTTCCATTCCATGCTTTCTAAACAATTCCTTAGAAGTCTTTGTGCCAGATTGGAAGGTTTAAGCCCAAAGGAAGTAGGTTCCAGGCATCACCCTATGCAGCTCACACGATGAAGCGCAGGCTTAATATGCATTTCAAAAGACGAATGGACATCTTGGACTGAAACAAACCCCCATCTCACCGATGTAAAAAAGGGCTAGGCTTATTCTCAGGAGAATGTGCTCATCTTTGCAATCTGATGGAAAGAATGAACTGAGAGTGGCCACCTCTTTCATCACTGTCTAATTGAATGATCTCTTCACAAACAGGACTCACTTCTTCACACCACAAGCATAAAATAATCCTCTAAAAGGTTCGTGATCGAACTAACAAGGTATGCACTGTTCTAAGAAGGCCCGTTGTTCTTTGTAAACATTTATTTCTTTTATACAAGTATGTAACTGTGGGTGCCTGTGTATGTATGTGGACACACTCATGCCACAAACATGTGTGGAAGTCAGAGGACAACTTGGGGGATTCTGTTCTCTCCTTCCACTATGTGGTCCTGGGGACTGAAATCAGGTTACCAGGCTAGCAAGCACTTTTACCTGCTGAGACATCTCCCCGACCCAACCAACTTGTTCTGATTCTTGATTTGCTTTACTCAATCAAAAAAGTGGCAGCTTATGAAGGCAGGAGGTTGAGACAGTTTGAAAAAAGGCTGGGGATGAAGGTCACAACACAGAGACTCTGGGGAAAAGGAGGGCCAGCATTCTCAAACTCAGCAATGAATAAGCACTGGGCCTCACACTATCCTCTCAGGAGGGCTCCTACCCAAGGAAGAGGGACTACGGGCAGAGCTGTAAGGGCTGCTGAGGGTGTTGTGGCCGTTCTCCACCTCTTACTTTAGACCCTGTGAGACCTTGCTTCTGACAGAAGAATGAGTAGAAGCTGGGAACTACAGGCTCTGCCAGCTACAGTGGGATTTGAGAGTTCCCAATCATGACTAACCCTAAGTGAATCTTTTATTTCTTGATGGTAGAATGAAGTCATCACAAATAAGAAGGTGCTGCAACCATACAACACAGACAAAACCCAGCAAGCAACATCCATTAAGACTGCCTTTATGTGGCAGACTTTACATGGAAATTATAAACCTTTTAAATTGCATAATGAACTTATTGGCAATTCCACAAATACATGGGATCATTTAGCAATTATGTTTTTAATGAAGCACCCACCAGGTCCTAGGCTGGAGAAGTGGGGGTCCATGACACAGAGTGCAGTGGGCATGAACTTAGAAGGTTAGTCTTCTGCACTACTCTATTTCTAGACCAGAGCTGCATTTGATGCTTCGCTGAATCAGTAACTGACGCAGACATGGTTTTAGCCGTCACAAAGTATGCAGACCAAGCGTAAGCAGCTGGCTGTGGGCAAGTACAGTGCACAGCAGGTCTCGGTCCTAGCTCTGATAGCAGGTACTGTAAGAATATGGGGCAATATATTTGGCTGTGGGAGTCTGAAATTACCAATAAGGGGTCTTGATACAATTTCCTCTAGTTTCTACAAACATTGTAATTCTGGGGCTGGAGAAATGGCTCAGCAGTTAAGAGCACTGGCTACTCTTGCAGAGGACCTGGGTTCAATTATCAGCACCCACATGGTGGCCAAAAACCATCCTTAACTCCAGTTCCAGGGGCTCTGACACCTTCTCCACAGGCATTGCACAACACAGGTGCACTTACACACATGCAGCCAATACACTCATACACATAAAATAAATAAAAATGGTTGTAATTTTAACATCTAACATTGCATCTGCTAGGACTGAGATGATATTAAAATGACAATAAAATCTGTCCTTGGGGGCTTAAACTCTAGTAATGTAGACAACAGAATATTCACGAGACTGAAAGAAGGTGTACATGCAAATATCCAATCACAGGAATGCACGGGTAGGAGATGGCACACTAATGATCACAAGCCAAGAACACAGAGTATGCAGGGCAGACCTTGGGCTCTGATTTAAGAGGCAAGGGATGCTGGGTGTGATGGCATATGCCTTTAATCCCAGCACTCGGGAGGCAGAAGCAGAGGCAAGAGGCAGAAGGATCTTTGTGTGTTCAAGGCCAGCCAGGGCTACATAGTGAGGCCCTGTTCCAAAAAACGAAACAAAAAAAGAGACAAGGGATGTGGCATGACAGACATAAGGTACCCACTTACCAGCCAGAATATCCCAGGAGTCCACACTGCCCACAGACATCAACCTCAAAGGCATCGCTTGAGATCATTAGTCTCTCCAACAAAAGCATACTTGCTCCATAGCCGATTAAACAATCACGTTCCATTTCTCCAAGACGCAAGCCACCGTCACGAGATCGCCCTTCAGTGGGCTGCCTTTGAAATAAAAGATCAAACATTAGATATATTAAACAGAGGAGCTTCACATGCCAACCAAGACATGGCTCTGGAGCAGGCTCACCTGGTGCCAAACCACTTATCAGATAGAAACGTTGAGCGGCTCCAAAAGCTTCAAAAGATACTAGTGGTTACTATTAAAAAACATACAGCAGCTGGGCGTGGTGGCGCACGCCTTTAATCTCAGCACTTGGGAGACAGAGGCAGGTGGATCTCTGTGACATCGAGGCCAGCCTGGTCTATATAGTGAATTCCAGGTCGGCTAGGGGTACAGGGAGACCTTGTTTCAAAAAAACAAAAACAAAACAAAACCCCCAAAACCTTCAAAACCTCAAAACAAAAGCATAATTATATAGTATTATATGGTAACAACATATTAATACATACAACTGCCCAATGCTAGTGTTTGCATTACTCTATCATGTTCACTGCTGTTAAACTAGTATAGTCTTCAAATCAAAGAACAATGTCTTTGAGTATTTTTTAGAGATGTCTCAGTATTTTATTTTTTAAGGGCAGGAAAAAAAAAAAAAGACTTGAGACTATGGAAGAAGCCTGAGTCTCCAGGTGCCCCTCCAAGGGCTCCATTGCCTATCATTTCTTCAGTGGACGCCTCATGATGCCTATGTGGTGCACACAGGGTGTGCTCACCCACATTGCTGAAATGTTAATACTGCTTTTGCTGTTATGGATGGATGTTACAGTGGGAAAATCGAATGATAGACTGGAAAGAAAAATCTACCTATGAAAAACTGAAGGATCACTGTATAAGTGAACAATCCTTACACATTGTTATCTGCTGACAGACCCACTATGGGCAGGAGTTCCCTCCACATGGGGCTTCTAAACATGTTGAAGGTAGTTATCTGCATGTGGGAAACTCTAATACTTATATTTTAACCACCTGTGATACCTCATTATAGACAATTGTTCCTAGACAGTCTAAATCCTTGTTGTGGGGCCATCCTGGGCCTCTTACAATTTTAGCAACATTCTGGCCTCTACCTATTATGTGCCATTAGCTCTTTCCCCCAGGTTTTTACTACCAAAAATTTCTCTAAAGGTCATCAAACATTCCCTGGGGCAAAAATCACTCTGATTAAGAACCAATGCCTTAGATTATGCTCTCTAACTGGAATAAGCACTAAGAAGGTGACAGTACAGTCATCTCTCCATATGTGCCCCCATGGATATTAAAATAACAAAACTGGGGGCTGGAGAGATGGCTCAGTGGTTAAGAGCACTGACTGCTCTGGCAGAGGACCCGGGTTTGATTCCCAGCACCCACATAGTGGCTACAAACCATCCTTAACTCCAGTTCCAGGGGAATCTGAAGCCCTCTTTTTGACCTCTGCAGCATTGCACGACACGGGTGCACTTACACACATGCAGGCGATACACTCATACACATAAAATAATAATAAATAAAATATTAAGAATAAATAAATAAATAAATAAATAAAACAAAATCTAGGATTGGAGAGATGGCTCAGCAATTAAGAGTGTATAATGCCCTTGCAGAGGATCCAAGTTCAGCTCCCAGCACTCACACTGGGCAGCTAACAATCACACTTGTAACTCCATTCTAGCGACTCCAACATCCTCTTCTGGCCTCTGTCAGCACCTGCACGCACATACTCAAAACTGCATTATTGACACACATATAGATGTAATTAAAAATAAAATTAAAAAACCCATTAGTGCTCATTATGTAAAGTGGGTTAATAGTTGCATATAACTTATGTACATTCCCCTCTCTAGTCACATGTTCCTTAACAATGAGAGTGAGGCCTGAGAAGTGCAGCACTAGGTGAATTCTCTGTTGAGCAAGTATACAAACCTAGATGGTACAGCACACTATGCACCTAAGCTATATGCAGTGTGTGTGTGAGAGAATTCATACACACTATGTATCTATGTCTATATGTATACTAAACATACTTATACATATTCGAGGTATAGACTAGTGCTCTTCAGGCTATGATGAACAAAATAATACAAGATTAAATTTAGCACAAGAGGATGATGTAATTAAGAAATATGCTAAAAAGGAAATGTGTGGGGCTGCTTCCAGTACAGCACAGCAGACTGTTCGCAGTAAGCTTTGCAGCACACTCTAAAATGATAAAAGGTTTAGTAAGCTCATAATCAGGAATACAGCTGTTTATTACTGGCAAGTACTATGTATTGTATAGAACTGTATGACTGTACTGTTGTATGACTGACGTGGGGTAGGTTAGTTTTCATTAGCATTACCACAAACAGGTGAATAATACCTTATGCTATGGTGTTTTGAGGGCTGTTACTTCACTTGGTGACTGGAACTTTTCACCTCCATTATACTCTCATGGGACCTCTACTGTATGTACTGCCATCACTGACAGAAATGTTATGTAGCTCATGATTTTCCTTTAAATCATTTCTGGGTGACTTGTAGTACTTAATACAGCGTAAAGACTATGTACATAGCTACTATATTGCATTGTTTACTAATGCTAAAAAAAGTCTGTAGCTGGGCGTGGTGGCACAAGCCTGTAGTCCCAGCACTTGGGAGGCAGAGGCAGGCGGATCTCTGTGCATTCAAGGCCAGCCTGGTCTACCCGTCAAGAAAAAAAAAAAAAAAAAAAAAAAAAAAAAAAAAAAAAGAAAAGTCTGTAAATGTTTGGCAGAGATGCAATTTCTAAAAAATGTGTGTGGGCACATGCCATAGTGCACATATGGAGGTTATGCACAACTTTGTGGGAGTTCTCTCCTTCTATCACATGGGTATCAGGGATCGAACTCAGGTCATCAGGCTTGACAGCAGGCAGTCTTACCCACTGAGTTATCTAGTCATCCTGAAATGCAATTTTTCCCCAATATTTTTTATCTGCATGTTTGAACCTGTAGGTACAGAGGGCTATGGCTACAATTCCCCTTCCAGCAAATTTACACTGATGCCATGCTTCCAACAGAGTATGAATGGGCACATATGAGTCTTAACTTCCTGGACCTGAGTCAAATAAGCATGCCTTATACTTGCTATATAGCCCAGTATGTGCAATTGTGTGATCTGAACTGCCAAATGAGGCATGTGTATGCATGTTTTCTGTATACATATGGGTATACATGCATATGTAGGTATATGGGCACACATGTACATACATTCTAAAATATACCTCTTTTTGAATAGGGCCACATTGACAAACTGCACATAGTAATGGCTGCATTAGGAAACCCCTGCCTGGCAAGACCAGCAGTGGGTTTGCTCTTGGGTCTGTGAAATAATTGGGTGCTATTTTCTTCAGCTGATCATATATACATGACTATTTTTATGGATATCCCAAATTTTGATATCTTAAGTAAACAGAAACCTTTTGAGTCTGTTTATTATTTATAGAGAGATAGCAAGATGGCTTGGCCTTGTGGTCAGCTCTTACCTGGTAAGGACGGCTCGTGGTCCACGGGCCCGGGCATGCATTTTATCCAGCACCATGTGTTTCAGCTTCTGATAGTACACAGGCCCAAAATAGATGTATGCTTCTAAGGGCTCACTGAAAGAAAGACCAACATTAGGTCAAGAGGCTGAGTCTGGATGACAAGACACTGACAGCCTTTGTTAGGCCTCACCACCAGCAAGTTCTTGTTTTTGCAGAGGTTTCTGACCAAATGTAGTGATAATCTTCCGTCTCCAGTGAATGAAGAGGCCAGATTGAAAATATAACAGTACCACAGCTATATCAAAAGCTAATGGTTTCACAAAGAAATAACACTATGAACAGGCCATGAGGCTGTATGCAGGATGGCCCCTTCTTCACAGCCACCTGCCTCGTCAGGCAGCAGCTACTTTCTGACTGATCTTCCTTCTGCCACTCTCATCACTAGATAGTCAGATGTAAACCAAGCTAATTCCTTCTAAACGGGAAACCGGAACAGGCCATTCTTCTGCTCTAAAATCCCCAGTGGTTTCTCCTCTACTCAGAATCCATATTGTCAAAATTTGTAACACACCCATAAGGTCAAACATAATATGCATCCTGCTTCAGGGCCTCTGTGACTGTTCTATGTGCTGAGAATGTGCCTCTGTTAGATATCTGCAGGGCTCTGTCACCAGTACATTTCTCAGGCAGATGTTCCCTCATCACTTTTTCTTCCTTTTTGTTTTGAGACAAGGTCTTACTATGCAGCCCAGGCTGGCCTGGGACTTTCTATATAGCTCAAGGTGGCCTCAACTCACAATCATCCTACCTCAGGTTCCTAAGTGCTAGATGTGAACCACCACAACCATCTTGCTGACCATCTTTTCTAAAGGTGTCCTCTGCCTTTAATCTATAGGAGCGATTCCCCCACCTGATCCTGTAGGGCACTCATCACCTTTGGCCATCTCTTTGTCTACTGCCCATTTCTATAAGAAGTCGGTTCTCTGATCGCTTTGTGGCTCTAGCACCTATGGTCCTGCCTGGCATACAACTAACTCTCAATAAATGTTTGTTATGTAACTTATTCCACAAATCTTTAGAAAAACTATAGTAAGACTCTCAACAGCGAATGAATATGTAAGTGCTGTAACAGAAAAGCAAAAATGGCCAAAGAGAATGGATGCCTTCAAAACTTTTAACTGCCTCCAAGTGTACTTCCACAAAGGAAAGGATGCTGATCAATCCATTCAACTAGCCAGATCGGAAGCACTGCATGCACCCCCATTTTGAAAATGAAGAGAGGTTAGCTAAGGGCTAAACTTAGTCCAGGCCTAAGTGGTGTGGCCTGGACTCAAATCCAGTACTCCATCAGCGTGCCACACAGGTCCCTCTAAAACCAAGCTCCCTTTGGCCAAAGCATGTTGTCAAGTGGGAAGAGTAAAGGAAGGTGCAGACAGGGCAGAAAGACAACCTTGGCCTGCTTGCTCCATCCACTAACATATCAGTATTACGAGCAAAAGCTTCTCAGTTACTAAGCCACTATGTGAGCTTCAGCACAGTGGGACATCATGGTAGACAGAAGGCACAGTGGCAAGGGCCTTGAGAGACCCTGCTCTTGTCCCAGTCTATCACAGCCACTGTATGGCCACTGCAGTGAGTTTTCTTCATTGTGTATCAAGGTGGTCAGTCAAGGGTCTTCCCAGTTCTCATAATACAAGACTGTGGTCCTCAGTGACACCATTACTCATGGTAAGCATTTATGGACTCTATCATTCAATACCATCCCATCATCATCAGAGTAAATCCATATGCAATTCCTGCTTCTAGCAATGATCAGGAACAAACAAGAATGTGAGCAAGCAAGGGGAGGCACTTGCAGGTCCTCTGTGAAAGTCTGAACAGCTGCTACAATGCTTCTTCTCCAGTTCCACATACACATAAACAGTAAAGAAATGAAAACTTTATGTGGGAGCCCAGTGCAGACTAGGAAACAGACTGCAGCTATCTACCGCACCCAGCATGTAGCTCACCCTAACCTTGCAGTACAGTTATGTTTAGGAAGCGGCACCAAATGAGTCCTATGGTTTTTCACACTTTCTGGTCACATTATTTCTGTGTATACATGAAGGCGATAGGTTTAGCAATGACAATTTTTTTGAGATGGACCCTTATCTATTTAACTGAACCATATTTGAATGAAGCAGGCCATTAGCCTTTTGCTAAAATGAGATTTTTCTCTAAGAATTATACACCCAAGGAAATCCATATTGTTACAACCTGGACAGATCATTTACAAAAGCATACCACGTTTTAAGCAGATACAGATTTGGGACACTCTCATCACAGCTGGAGCATTCTTTGCAGTACTACAACTAGGCACTGCGTCCCCCTGCTTCAGCAGAGCTTTACTCGTGTTCAAGTGGCTTATGACCGAACAGCACAAGCATGGCCCAGAGTTTTATCTGCTACAAGGTATTATTAATTTAAGCAGCCAATTTGATCCTTTATAACCCTGTGTAATAAAAACTCTTATCTTTTATAATAATTGCAGGGACTTCTGTTTCTCAAAGATGACAGGGAAATCCTTCACTCTGCCTGGGTGACCTAGTTCTTTTCCTCATCCAACTTCACTTGGGGCTGAGACTGCTGCCTCATCCATTCTTGGAATCATAAGGTAAGAGTATTTTCCTCCGTACCACACTCTCCAAATGGTCTAACCTTCACAAGCTTTGTATTGCAGTTACCTCACAGTCTCTAACTTTTCCTTTGTCTTCACTTGGTGAGAACTCTTTCTACCTGGATTTATCTGTCAGCATTTCTTCATCTGACAAGCATTTCTAAAGTGCTTGCTGTGTGCCAGGCCTTGTGGTAGGTTCAATAAATAGAATAGTAAGCACAACGTATCAACTTGGTCTCACGGAGGCTGTGTCCTTGCTGGGGAAACAGACCACAGCATCACTAAGTATTAATATGCAGTATGTTTGACAATGATGAATGCTATGGGGAACAATGAGGCACTAGTGGGTTGTGGTTTTAATCTGGCAGAACTGGGCAGAGGGTGAGGCTCAATGACAAAGTTAGCATGCATGAGGCCCTGGATTCAATCTTCAGCACCACAACCTCCTCCCCAAACCTTGCTCACCTTTGGTAGTTAGGAAATGAGCAGGTGAGACCTGCTGTTCTGTCATGTCTAATAAAATCTAAACTGCCAGCTCTATGGCCAAGGGCCATGCTTATTTACTGTTATTCTTTTCAATGTCTAGCAAATATTGGGTGCTTAACAGAACTTTATTGAACAAGCATAAATATTAGGCCCCAAGCTATGGGACAAAGCACTAATTATTTGGTATCCATCATATAAATGCAAAGGAAATTCAACTGTTATGGAACCACTACATTACACACAATGTGTTCCAAAAAGTAACATGAAAAACCATAACTTGTTAGATGAAATCTTATTCATTTTAAAAATTATAGTCTTACCATCATAAACAGTCTCCCTCAACTCTCAGTTTCTTAAATTTGGATTTTCTTATACCAGCTTTAAAAAGGTAAAGTTTTACTACTTGAGGCTTATGGTACAGTCCTGGAATTTTATAAATTAAAATATTATCTCTTAAGGGTCCTTAACTCCTATCCTGACAAAACCATTCCTTTTCTTTAAAATGGTCAACAGTACACTCACCCTGTGATGCCTGATGTGACATAGTCCTTCCCCAGATAGTTATAGCCATGGCGAACAAGGTCTTCACATACATCCTTCACTTTACTTCCTCCAAACGCAGTGCCATAGTGGAATCTGCCGTCTAACACACCTGCCTTGCCAGCCAGCAGCTCAATTAACTTCCCAACCTGTGGAGAGGATGGAAACAAATTCAGTGGTACAAGAATTTTTCTTGCTTAGTTACCCTCTGGCTTACTCCCCAGAAAGGTAATTTCAGTCACCACCGTTAATAACATGGCTAAATTAGCAATGCTACCATTTACCCGTATCTCGCTGCGTGACAGGCTCTACATGTGCCATTGAACTTCCCCCACTGTTATTCCCTCAGTTTTCAGAAGACAAAACGGAAGTGCAGAGCTTAAACAACTTGACCAAGGCCACAATGCCAGTGTTAGGATTACAAGTTACAAGAAGTGACAACTAAAAGGGAGGCTCAGCACACAGGGCTCTCTTCACTGAGGGCCACTTTCACCACTCAGACTCTGCAACGGCTCATGTGCTCTTCGTGCTCTGTGGAGGAGCGTGAATGACAGGGGCTTGGAGCAGGCAGGGGCCAAAGGGCTCTTTTTAAAAGCTTGCTCCAGGGTCCCAGCACGTCCACTCACTGTAACTAAACTAAACTGCCTGCTTTCTTCCTTCAGGAAGCACCTCTGAAAAGCCTCAAGGTAACTACTGACCGTCATTCTCGATGGGAAGCCATGTGGGTTCATTATGATATCCGGACAGATGCCAGAATCACAGAATGGCATATCTTCCTGGGGTACAATCAAGCCACAAACACCTGGGGGAGAGAAGATTTCATACCACGTAAAGCAAACTGGCAGAAAGGAAGAATGCAGTACTTAGTTGGGATCTCCCTGTTGCTCTCTCTATTTCCACTGTTCTAAAACCTTTCCAACCACCTCGATCAAGAGCAGCAAAAGCAATTTCCAACAGTCCTGCTAGCCAAGCAGCTCAAAAATGACTCTCTTTGCAGAAAAGCTGTGTAGCCTGCAGACTGTCCTGCTGGCACGACATACGACAGGGCTGTCAGGCTGTTTGCCCACCATCCTGTGCCATGAAGACCAAAGGGCAGCAACTGCCCTGGCTCCTGGGCCTGGTCATGTCCCTGAAGCTTGAAGTCAACAGCAATTTTGCTCCTCATCAGCTAGATTGTGATCTGTTAGTTCTGCATTTAAAACACAGTAATTCAAATTCTGCAACTACCAAAGAATGACTGAATAAGACAGAATATGTTAAAGGTGGTTTTGAAAACTTGTGACAAGAAATCCTTGGGTGGCTATGTGCGAAAAAGTGTACCTGCTGCCTGTAGAGTGCTGGCTAGCTGGGTGGCTCTTGCCAAGTCTTTGCTGGCTGAGCCTTACCTGCCTTAAGGAATTTTAATTCCTATAGCTTACAGACCTTTAGAAAAGTGATCTTTGATTGAACCTGTAAAGATCAACAACAAAATTAAGTGCCCTTGGAGAAAAGGGCCAGAATGAGAAATGGAATCGCGAGAAGGAAAGCAGAGCAAAGCAGCCCCTAGCTCACCGCACTCTTCGACATGCTCCTAGTATGAGTACTCCTGGACTAGTACTCTTCTGATTTGTTTCTTGGGAAGAGAAGTGGGGGTAGAATTGGAACCTTAACCACAGTTTATGTAAGAACTGGAAACTGGCATACAACAGCAGAGAGCTAGGAGACACGCTCCCATGGTGTAGGATAAGAGAGACGGCTCAGCGGATAACAGCACTGGCTGCTCTAGCAGAAGGCCCAGGTTTGAATCCTAACACCCACATGGCAGCTAACAACTGTCCATAACTCCAGTTCCAGGGGATCCGATGCCCTCTTCTGCCCTCTGGGGGAACTGCACAACATGGATGTACTTATATACAGCCATAACATTCACACGCATAAAAATAAATAAATAAATAAATAAAAAACTTTAATTTCTTTTCCCTATGTGTGACATTACTAACTTCCGCACCCACTGAAAAACTAAAAAATTTCATTCCTCTGTTTGACCTCTACATAATTCAAACCACTTTCTTTTTTTTTTTGGTCTTTTTGAGACAGGATTTCCTTCTAGCTCCGGCTGACCTGATTCACTATGGAGACCAGGCAGGCCTCAAACTCCCAGAGATCCTCCTGCCTCTGCCTCCCGAGTGCTGGGATTAAAGGCGTGCGCCACCACACCCGGCTCAAACCATTTTCTTTACTTATTTATTTATTCATTTATTTTTGAAAGAGTCTTTCTAGGCAGCCTTGGCTAGCCTAAAACTCTCTATATAGCCTTAAACTCAGACCTCTGTCTGCTTCTGTTGACCACGTGCTAGGATTAAAGGCGTGTGCCACCATGACCAGCTCAAACCACTTTATTTTTAAAATTATTATTATCACTGTAGCACTGGAGATCAAACCTAAGAACTTGTACATGATAGGTAAGCACTGAGCTACATCCCCAGAACTCTTCATGATTTGTTATGTCTTGAAGAGCTGAGGTAGAGAGGAAAGGAACAACACCTGTCTACTTCACATGGGTCATCAACATTCTTGTTTCTAGTGGCTGCCAAGAAGGTGATAATGAAGGTTGTGGGGTGGGACTCAAGCATGGAGTTACTCTATGTGCCATTTGGGTTGAAACGGCTTTATTTATTATAAGGATGTATGTTTTCCCGCATAAAGAACAGAAACAGTTATTTGGTATGCTTTATTCCTATTCCAGCTATGTGCCAGACTTTAAATCAAGCAGAGTATTGTGATGCCTTTTTCTTCCATTCAAAACCCCATCTTATCCACACTGAACTTAAGTGACAAAACCCTAGGGGTACTGGGAAGTTTACGTTGAAAGAGACCAAACTGTAAATCTAAGTACACCGACAACATCATTGTGCAGCAGTGAACAAAATGGTGGACACAGCAATCCCTAGAAGGGGCCAGGACGGAGGCAGCTGAAGAAAATGCGATTTTGGCTGGTGAGGAGACAGAGTCCAGTGATACCCCTTTAACACAAAACCAAAGGAAAAGCGCAGCACCCCCTCAGCCTCAGCTCACAGGGAGGAGCTCCTGTCCAGCAAAGGAAGGTGGGAGTGAGGGATGGGAGGTCCCAGAGAGGATCAAGGAAGCATGACGTGCACCCTGGGCCTGGGGGAGGGTAAGAAAAAAGAAGACTTGCATTTTGTGCTTTTGGTTTTCGTTGACATGTTTAAGTGAGCCAATTCAACGTGATTGGTTATTAAACTGAAACTCTCATCCCTAAAATCAGAATCTAGTAATTTTCCTTGAAGCCTGATTAATATTTACTAAAGAGTTTCCTTTTAGGGAAGTTGTTTTCTTATCTGCCTTTTTCTGACACTTGTGAAAAAAATATCCACAAGTAGCTTAGCTTTTCTTCATTCTATTCTACAACAGAACTGCTTTGGTCGAATCTGAACCAAGGGCACCTGTAAGCCAAAAATTAAATCTTCGCTAACTTAAAATTACTTTAGGCTCTGAAAACCCTTTTATATGCCAAGATGGTTCCCATAGCAGACAGCCCTGTGTTGTTTGTTTTGTGTGAAAGTGAATGATAAAAGATCCATGAAATCGACACAGAAAGGCAGAACAGCAGAAAGAGCTGAGGGCTCTCCATCATTGCGGCTTCTACCCTCCGCTGACTTGTGGAACAATGGGAGCTACACATCCAACTGCAGATCTAACACAGCTGTGCATTTCATTAGATGAAGAGCACTAGTGACACAAGTAAATAATTAACTTATTCTGGTCCGCTGACTGTGCTTATGAGACCAGTCATAGCTGACAGATTTTAATACAAGTTAACACAAAGGGGCCGTAATGAGCTTAGAAGTTAAAACAAAATATTTAGACAGAATTTGATGATCTTGAATCTTCAATTAGACAGATGATTTTTAAAGTTTGCATTTTACTGAATGCAGCCAGGGTAAAGAGTTCTCAATTGTAGAAGCACACTTTCCCTTCTTCTTCCTCCCTTTCATATTCCTGTTTCAGAAGTATTCAAAACTTTATCAGCCTTGGGAAGGCTTCTTTTCTTCCAACAAAAAATTAAGACCATGTTTTATCTAGGAACACAGGCACAAAGTTCATCCAGTACTAAGAACTCTTGAAAGTTATAGTCATTTCCTTGAATACTGGCTTAAAATGTAAATGGTATGCAGTGTGCTTCAGTGTGTTAAGCCTCCCCTGGGTCCCTGGAAGGAGGACGGACTACAAATAAAGCACAGCTAACGTGAGCTGTTGGGAACCAATTATTGATTCATACCTTAAATGCTTGCACAGCATTTCAGATTTTTTAAAAAAATTTATTTATTTACTTTTTTTTTTTTTAATGTGTTTGAGTGTATCGCCTGCATGTATGTGAGTGCACCCGTGTGGTGCAATGCCAAGGAGGTCAGAAGAGGGCTTCGGATTCCCCTGGAACATGAGTTAAGGATGGTTCATAGCCTCCATGTGGGTGCTGGGAATCGAACCCAGGTCCTCTGCAAGAGCAGTCAGTGCTCTTAACTGTGAGCCATCTCTCCAGCCCTGAAAATTCAACTTTTATAGATACAGCAGAACGTTGTTGTGAAATAATTATGTTCTGGGATGGCGAGATAGAGGGCATTTCAGATTTTAAAATAAAATTTCATTCCCTGGCTCATAGTGAGGTTTCAAGCCCATTGTTTACAGTACAGCCTCCTGGCAATAAAACACAAATATATTAGTTTAGCATTCCCAGGAACATTGGATGCACTCACTGGGGGCAACTGAGAATTAGGCCATAGATCACAAGACTTCTTTTTTAATTAAAAAAAAGTTTTATTTTTATGTATATGAGTGTTATATCTGCATGTATGTAAGTGCACCTGTGTCATGCAGTGTCAGCAGAGGACAGAAGAGGATGCTGGATTCCCCGGACCTGGAGTTATGGAAGGTTTGCTGCCATGTGAGTGCTGGGATTCAAACCTAAGTCTTCTGTAAGAACAGCCAGTGCTCTTACATGCTTAGCCATCTCGCCAGCCCCCAGATCCCAGGACTTTGTTAACAAACACAAATCAACAAGGAAAATGGAAGCTGGGAAAGTAAAGTGCAGACTCTTTGCCAAGAGACTGATACTCACTTCAGGTGTGAAGAAGCAGTCCTTACGGAGTCCAAGGGGTTCTAAGTAGGTGCCAGTCACTCCGAGGACCCGTGATTACATGCCCTGTGTCATGGTGCAGACACTGCAGGCTCCTATGCCAATCTGCTACCTTTATTTCCATGACTTCATAGAGCAGCACAGAGATCATGGAAGGATGCGTGTGCCCAGCAAAAGTTCAGTTGGCCTTAATCAATCATTTGGTTTCCTTAAAATGTATTTCTAATGATAAATACTAAAGGCAACCAACGTATTCAAAAGTTACTTTGGCTTTTAAAAAAATTAGTTTTAGTGGACTGAATTTGTGAACTGCACTACTTTAAATTGAACAGATAAGAGGCAAGCACATCAGTAATGCCAGTAATCCAAGCACTGGGCCAGGAGGACTGTGAGTTCAAGGTCAGCCTGGGCTAGAGAGCAAGACCATCTCAAAAAAGCAAAAGGGAAAAAGTAACATAACAAAAAGGAGTTAAGAAAAAAAAAATCATTCTTACTCTTGTAAGAGAAACCACAAACCAAAATAAAATCATTCTTACTCTTGTAAGAAAAACCATAAACTAAAAAAATCATTCTTACTCTTATAAGAAAAACCATACCAAGATAGGAAAGCAGATCCTAACTGCGGAAGGCTGCTTTTTTTGGTCTTTTTGAGACAGGGTTTCTCTGTG